GGAAGGAGGGGACAGCGTATTCCAGGCAGGGGAACAGCCTGAGCAAAGGCATGGCATCGGGGATAAGTCCAGTGGGTGTCTCCTTTGGCCCAACCAAGCTATCAGTGCCTGGGGGAGACACCTGGACAGCAAGGCCGGCTATAACCAGGCAGTAGGGGCCTAGGGGTGGGGAAATGAAGCAGGGGAGGGGGCGGATGCTCTCAGAAGTGGTTCTGTGGGGATCCTGCCTTGCCCCTATTCCTGAGCCACCAACCTTATTTTTAACCCTGCTGACAAAAGATAATCCGAATGAAATCAAGAAGTGTGACTGATCCCTGCCCCTCCCCCTGCCCCAGTTACTGCTCCTTCCCTCCCCGCTCCCCAGAGCAGGGTCAGAGACATCCTAGGAGACCCTTCCCCAGAAGCATCAGCACAGACAGTGACTGGTCCAGAAGAAATGGTTCCTGCATTCACCTAGCAGGACCTGGACTCAGGGAGGGATCCTGGTGCTTAGAAACACTCAGGTCTCCTGGGGGGTTGAGCAGGCTGGGAACGGCCCAAGACAGAGCTGGATGTTCTATCTATCTGTCCAGCACATGCTTCTCAAATGTTAGTGAGCATCTGGAGGGCTTATAAAACACAGATTCCTGGGCTCACCCCCTCCCCCAGAAATTCTGATTCAGTAGGTCCGGGGTGGTGTCCAAGGATCTGTCTTTCCAACCAGCTCCCAGGTGATGAGGGGCTTGGGGAGAGGGGCATGGACCATACTCTGAGTGCCACTGAACTAGAAGCAGGAGCTTCCAGGCAACAGCAGTTCGGCCTCCCCTTCACCCTGTGAGCTGCCAGATAGACCTTATCGAGACGGCTTCCGCTCAGGATCTAGAGAACCCTGAAGGCCGTGCTAAGTAGTTTGGACTTTATTCTGAGCCCTATAGAAAGCCTCACAAAGATTTTAAGCAAGAGGCGAGGCTATTGGATGTATAGGTTGAACAAGCTCACTGCACCATGGTGCCACTGAGTGCGATGGGTCGTAGGGAACAAGCCTGGAGGCAGTGATTGGGGTGGGGGCTTTGCAGGAGGAGGGACAGAAGAATGGAGAGGTGGGTAAATTCAAGAAGCATAGATCAGAAGAGACAGGAGTTGGCGATTGATGGCTGTGGGTATTGAAAGATGAGGAAAGAGGGTGCGGGAGAACACTGGGGTTCCTGGCTTGAAGGCTGGGGTGCTGGGGAACCAGTCCTGAAATCAGAGGCACTGGTAGGGGGCTGATAAGGGATTCAGTCTGCCAGACTGATAGATGGGCAGAGGAATTTCTTCCTTGGGCTGTGTGGCCACCCTGCTCTCAACTCCTGTTCTGGCTCCCTGAAGGGTCCACAGATGAACCCCCAGAATCTTCCAGGGGTCAGTGTGAAGGCTGTCATTCCTGCCTGAGAAGTCCTGCAGCACAGTGTCCCAGGGCACCAGGAAACAAGCCTCACCCAGCTTACATTACCAAAAAAGGACATTTTCTCAGTTTGAAGGTTTGCCCAGCCTATTCCCTCCTCCCCCCACCTGGGGTTTCAGGTTTCCAGGGAAGTGTCTCTGAAAAGTTTAGAACTTTCAATCACACATACCCGTGGACAAGCAAATATGTGCCTGGGGCTATTCCTCTACCACACTGAGTTCTGATGTCACAAATGTGACTTCTTCCTCCTCTTCCTCCTCTCCTCCACCATCACCATCACTCAGCCCATCCTGGGCTACACACTTTCATATGCTGCCTCTCAGTGTTCACAGCACTTCCAAGAGGGGGAAGATTATGATCCTGCAGATGAAGAAACTGAGGCACAGAGAGGCAAAGCCACTCAGCCAGGGTCCTAGAGTCCCAGAGAGGTTGAGAGGGGGATGAAGTGAGCAAAATGACTGACTCATGCTGGGTCTGATCCGAACTTTATTTAAATTTTATTAATAGTTTCTTCATCAAGGATTTGTTTGGGTATTAATTTAGATTTTTAAAAATACCATATTAAAATAGTATTTATCTTGATTACCGAGTTTTTTCGGCATCTCTTTAAATTTTGAGCCTGAGGTGGATGCCTCGCTCGCCTCACCCTAGCCCAAGGCTTGGCAGAGCTGAAATTCGGATCCGGGGCTGCTGACTGCACAACCATGCTCTTAACTATTCCCCGTGCTGCCCCCTTGTCCATACATGTGTGCACGTGTGCTTACGCACGTTCATGAATGTATTCTTTCATTCTGTAAAATGCCGTCTCCTTCAGGAGACATTATTGTGGCAGTGTGGCAGAGTGGAGAGGGCAGGAGCTTGGGAATCAGACAGTTCTGGGCTAGAACTCCACTACTCACTACTGGGCGGAAGCATAGCCTACGGTTAAGGGCACAGAGTCAAGATCCCAGAATGCTTTGGTTCGAAATCTCACTCTGTCACTGGCTGGCTGTGTAAGTTTGGGTGGGATCCTTAAAAGACTCTTGTTCTCTGTGAAGAGGGATGATGGTAATAACATCTGCCACATAGTGTTATCCAGGGGGAAATTAAATGAGTTAATTTCTGTAATTTCTGTAAAGCATGTAGTAAATACTTTGCAAGTGTTAACTATTATTTTGCATCCTTGAGCAAGATACCTGAGACCCAGTTTCCCCACCTGTGAAGTAAGGATAGCAAAAACTGTTCCAGGCAGTTTTGAGGGTTGAAAGGGATAACGTAGGTAAAGGGCTTGGCACGTGTTAGGAGCTTAATAAAATTTCCCTCCTTCACTAGGGGCCCAGCTTTGTGCTGGAGATGGATACGGAGACACAGGCACATCAGCTCCCCAAGGAATTAACTCATCTACATATGTGAACACTGATTCGACCTTTCAGTTCCCCAAGGCCCCGAGCTCTTACCCCCTCTCAGTGCCTTTGCACGTGCTCTTCCCTCTACCTGGCTCTCTGTCTCCAGCTCACCTCTAATGGGCCTAATTTGTGTGTGTTCAGGTCTCAATTTAAATGTCGCATCCTCAAAGAAACCATCCCTGACTCCCTCACCTCCACCACTGATCTCTGTCGAATCTTTCCGTTTTACATGTTCATTACTTTCTCTACTCTTCTTTCATGGCGCTTCTCACAATCTCAATGCAATACTTATTCTTTAATTACATTTTATTAAATCAGTTTTGTTGCTTGTTTACTATCCATCTCCTCACTTGACAGTGAGGGCAGGGACCGACTTGTCTTGTCCACAGGGATCTCTGTCCTCAGCTTCTGGCCACACGTGGCACATGCCCCAGAGCAGCACTGAAGCACACAGGCTCTGAAGTCATCTTGCCTGGGGTCACAATCTCAGCTCTTGTACTTAGTGACTCTGTGACCAAGGGCAAGTTACTTAACCTCTCTGTGCCTCAGCTTCCTCTTCTGTAAAATAGGGAAAATAATAACATAGGCTTCCTAAGGCATCGTGATAATTACATGAGATAATCTTCATAATTCCTTTAGAATGGTGCCTGGCCCATCCAGAAATGGGGCTGTTAATATTTTAGTAGGTGCTTCAATTAGTCAGGCTAGACTAAGAGCCGAAACGAATATCCCCAGAATCTCGAGTACTTAACATAATACACGTTTAAGCCTTAGGCTTAAATGTTCCACATTTAATGTTTAAATTTAATGCTTAAATGTTCCACATTCCAATGTGGGACTGTGGGAGGGGACATTGCTCTCTGCAATAATTATTTACGGGCCCAGTTTCCTTCCACTGTATGTCTTAACCCAGAGTCCACAGGGGTTTCTGTGGATGTAATTCAGGGGCCCTGTAAATTTGAATGCTGTCTTAGGTTAGATTCCCTGGAAGCTGAGAATGAGATGGAGATTTCTGTGTACATAATTTAATGAGGGAAGACTCACAGGAGAGGGGAGTGAAAGAGGCAGCGCTGGGTGGGGAAGTATTCGAGCAAAGATGCGGTCTTACCTGGTGCCTATTTCAGCCTCATCCCACAGGGACTCTGGAGCCTGGCTTTGTACCACAGAGTTGGTTCCTCTTGGGGGCAAGAGAGGGTGGGTCAGTGTCATCAGCCATGGGTTGGGCTTCCTGGGTTGAGGCAGGGGTGGGGATTTGACCTCTGGAACAATGTGGCTTCTTTTGGTTGCAATGCTCTGAGACAGTAATGAGCCAATACAGCACCTAAGGGTGGGTGCATCTGCCCAACGAAGGGATCTGGGCTGTGCATCAAAAGTGTCTACAACAGATAGGAAAACGACATTTTTATTTTTACTAACTTTAAACTGAAATTTAGCATTTTCTTCAATTATAGAAATAGGCAATAAGCTACAGCAGTATTGGCAATATCTGTGACTTTGTCACCGATAGAAATCACATGTATTTTTATGTCATTTTACTATTGTTGTGGGTATTCTTGAAATATCCTTTATGCTAATCTATACTTTAAAATTATAGTAGTTAATAGACCTGCTAGATATTTTGTTTAATGTGTTAATGAAGGACATATTATAAGTTTGTTCTTTTAAGTATTTCGATAACAGTGTGTCAGTATAATTCCATCCCTTTGTAATCCTATGTCTTTTACGCATTTTAAAACATTATTATGAGAAGGGATCTATAGGCATCACCAGATGCCAAAGGGGTTTGTGACACAAAAGAAGCTAAGTACCCTGTTCTGGGGCCTTAGCCTCTTTTGCATTTTACCAAGACCAGGAGAATAAGAAGAAATAGAGGATCACAGGGGAGGTTTTTATGGGCCAGGCCTGGAAATGGCATACATCACATCTTCCCACAATGCATTGACCTGGACTCAGTCACCTGACCACATCTAGCTGAAAGGGAAGCTGGGAAATGTAGTCTATCTGTGTGCCCAGAAAAAAGGAAACGATCTGGGAAATGCACAGCTGTCTGGGCCACAGGGCTCAACAAATATTCACTGACAGCCTGAGTGAATGAATGCTCTGTCCAGGGTGTCTCTTGGTCGGTTAGGGAGAAGGGGCAGAGGGCTGGTTCTCTGGAGGGATCCTGAGTCTCTGCCATGTTGTCTCCTTAGGACAAGCCATGCCAAGGCCAAAGCTGAGGCCGCAGAACAGGCTGCCCTGGCCGCCAACCAAGAGTCCAACATTGCCCGCACTTTGGCCAGGGAACTGGCTCCAGACTTCTACCAGCCAGGTAGGGCCAGCCAAGGAGGGGACAGGCAGGACAAGGTGGGGGGAGGTGACCAGTGGTAGACCGGTCCCACTCCAGGCTGTCTCTTCTCTCTGGGAAATGAGGCTGAAGAGTAAGGTGAACCTGCCATTTTTGATACAGAGCTTGTTCTTGGATAGAGTGGAGGGAGTCCCTTGGGATGGGATATTGGTGTTCTCTGCATGAAGGGTTTTAAGATAAGTGGCATGATTAGGTTTGTTTTCTAAACATTATTCTGGCTGCAGCAAGGAGACCAAAGGTAGCCAGACTAGGTGGAAGAGCTTGGAGCACAGAACTGTGCCTGGAAGGGCAAGTCACTTCTGGTCCCAGCGCTCCCCCTGCTGATCCCAGGAAGAGCTGACACTGGCTGGCTGCCTCTGTCACTGTGACAGGCACTGAGCTCAGCATTTTACATGCATTTTTTTTTCCCCTACCCAATTAATCCTTCTATTAGTATTTATGAAATAGGTATGATTAGCCCCATTTTTCAGATGAGGGAATGAAAAGAGACCAGTGGCACCGTGAAGAGCGCGAAGTCTGGAGCCAGACTCCCTGGGTGCTAGTCCTGGCTCTGCCCTTTGTCAGCTGGGTGACTTTGGGTAAGCCTCCCATGCTTCATCTGTAAAATGGAGGTTAATCGCATGGTCCTTTCGGGATATTAAAACTATTAAATGAGTTGATATTTGGAAACTGCTTAGAACAGTGTTTGGCACATTGTAGATGGCTGAGTAAATAAATGGTTGAGAGGAAAAAAAAAAGAGGCTCAGTGAGGTTAAGCAGCTTGCCCATGATCAGTAGCGGAACCCGGGTTCTAACTCATCCTCCCGGTGTTGTCCGTGGCAGGTCCGGAATACCAGAAGCGCCGGCTGCTCCAGGAGATCCTGGAGAACTCGGAGAGCCTGCTGGCGCCCCCCGACCGGGGCCCTGGCGCCGCCGGCCTGCAGCTGCCC